TGGGGTGGGCTGTTTTATTAGGTGGTTATTACAGGGGTCAGACCACAGAAGTGGTGTCAAGCTCCGGGAATGTGACCTCTCAATGTTGATCACAAAGCCCCCAAGGCTGGTCCCGGTGAGCCCCAAGGTCAGAAATGGAACTGAAAGGCCTCGGTCACATGCTGCTTCCAAGCGTCCAGGCTGGGCAGCAGGGAAGAGATGCCCATGACATGCCAGGTCTCCCCGTGGGACACCAGCGAGGTCTGGTAGGACAGCAGCTGCACACCTGCCTTTGCCAGGAGCCCAATCATGGTAGGCAGCAGGCAGGGTTGGAGGGCTGATCCCGGAGCAGGAGCAGGGGCAGACCCCTGCTGAGAGGCACTTCTGGTCTGAAGGCAGCTCCGTGGAGTGCCTGCAGCACAGGTGTGGTGCCCTGGACAAAGCCCACAGCCTCGTAGGGGGCACCTGCCAGGGCCACGCTCAGGAGGCCTTCCCCGCATCCTTGCTCTCCTGGCACAGCGGGGTTATGGGAGGAGGTTACATTGAGGCCGCCCTCCTTCACCAGCAGCTTGGCATTCACCAAGTTCACATCAGCATGATTGGAAGCATCTTTGAGGCGGCTGACAATGACTGTGGGGCTCAGGCAGCTCCCAGCATTATTCAGGGATAAGCCCTGCATTACCACCTGGATGGTCCCTTTGGGGGACCCTGCCCAGGCTCGCATCAGAGTCCCCAGAGCTTCGGCCAGACCGAGCCAAGGTTTGGTGTGCAGAAAGAAGGCGATGGTAAGGGCCTGGGCATTCACAATCCCGCGAGGGTTCTCCCCTTCACCATGTCCACGAACTGGACAGCGATCTCCTCCCCGCAGCGGCTCTGGGCCTCCTTGGTGCTGGCTCCCAGGTGGGGGCAGCTGATGACATTCTCGGGGTCCACCAAAGCGCCATCCCGCGGGCGGCTCCTCCTTGAACACCTCCAGCGCTGCGCCCGCGCACTGCCCCGACTGCAGGGCCCATAGCAGGGCGATCTCGTCCACGATCCCTCCACGGGCGCAGTTCACCACGCGCACGCCCTTCTTGCACAGGGCGAAGGTGCTGTGCAAGGCCTGTCGTGGAGGGCAGGAGAGGGGTGTGCACGGTGATGAAGTCACAGAGGGGCCAGATCTCCTCCAGGGGATCAGCTGCTGAACGCCGAAAGAGGCTGAGACCTCTGGTGAGATGATGGGGTCGTACTCTACAGTTTTCATCCCAAAGGACGGCAGCCGGACGGCCACCTCTCTCCCGATCCACCCCAGGCCCAGAATTCCCAGAGTCTTTCCATTCAACTCGGTGCCCATGAACTTCTTTTGGTCCCATTTGCCAGCCTTCATCGAAGCCGTCGCCTGGGGAATCTGCCTGGCCAGACGCATGATCATCCCACAGGTGAGCCCCGCAGCACTGAGACTGTTCCCATTGGGAGTGTTCATGACCAGGATGCCCTTCCTCGTGGCGGCCTCCAGATCCACGTTGTCCACACCGGTGCCGGCCCTGCCCACTACCTGGAGCTTCTCTGCTGCGTTGATGACATCCACGGTCACCTTGGCCAAGCACACAATAAGGCCTTCGCAGTCCTGCAGCTCGGCTATCAATAAGGCCTTCGCAGTCCTGCAGCTCGGGCTATCATCTCCTCTTTGCTCAGGTTCTGCTTCTCCACCACCTGCAGCCTTCTATCTTGCAGGATCTTCCTGCAGCAAGGGTCCCCAGGCTGTCACCGATGAGCACTTTCTGCAAATTTGCGAAGGCCATTGCTGGAGCCGGCCTCGGGATTGACCCCTCTCCCTGGACAGAAACACCTCTGCGCCAAGAAGCTACTGTTCGGAAGGCCGGGCTTGTGTTACTGGGCCTTGTTTTCTTTTGATGTCTTTTTTGGTTTTGTTTTTAGAGTAATTGTGGCCTCATAAAATTACTTAGTGTTCCTTTTCATTCTGTTTTTTAGGAGTTTAAAAGCATTTGTGTTAATCCTTTCTAAAATGATTAGTCAAATGCAGGTCTTCACTTTTTCAAAGTTGTTTGGTTTTTTAAAAAATATATATTTGTATTTATTTCAGACAGGAAGGGAGAGGAGAGCGAGAGGGAAACATTAATGATAAGGGAGAATCATTGATAGGCTGCCTCCTGCATGTCCTCTACTGAGGATCTAGCAACCGGGGCATGTGCCCTTCACTGAAATAGAACCCAGGACCCTTAGTCCACACGCCAATGCTCTATCCACTGAGCCAAACCATCTAGGGCAATTTTAGAAAGTTTTAATTACAAATTCAATCTCCTTACTTGTGCCAGGTATGTTCAGACTCTAGCTCTTCAGTTACATTTGTAGTTCATAGCTTTGAAGGAATTTTTTTATTTCATTCAGGTTATATAATTTGTTGTTGAATAATTGTTCATAATTTCTCTTATAATCCTTCGTAAATTCAGATGATTGGTGGGTATATATATATATATATATCATTATTATGTATACAAAATATGTGTATTGTTATAATATAGACTAGAGGCCCAGTGCACAAAATTCGTGCATGGGTAGGGTCCTAAGGGGACCAGTGATCAGGGCCAATCGGGGCCTTCCTGGTGCCAGCCAGGGCCTCCCTCCCCTGGCTGCTGGCAGCAGGCCTGAGCCTTCATTTGGTGCTGCCCCTGGTGGTCAATGCCCATCATAGCAAGTGATCAGTTTCCCAGTGAAACTCCTGTGGGGACAATTTGCATATTAGGTTTATATATATAGTTTATGCCTGTGGCTGCTGTTACTTTTGCACTTCAGCCAGGGCCTCACTCACCTGGCTGCTGGCAGCCGGCCTGGGCCTTCATTCGGTGCTGCCCCTGGTGGTCAACGCACATCATAGCAATACAATACAAAAGATCAATGAAACCAAGAGCTGGCGATCAGTTTCCCAGTAAAACTCCTGTGGGGACAATTTGCATATTAGGTATTTATATAAAGAGATATGGCATTATTTGGTATACCTATAACAATATTTCAGATAACACTTGGTATATAGTGTAACATAATATATATAAAAATATGTCTATACATAAAAATGGTATTATGGCAATAACTGCTGGCACAGTCACTAATCTAACTCCCTTAACTCCCACAACTCATAGAACTGTCCCTGGAAGTAAAGGAACAAGGAGACAAGAATGTCACCCTGAGCAATAATCAGGCAAAGATGCTGGTGAACTGGGATGTGGTGCAGGACTCAGGTGGCTCAGGTAATGACTGATATGGAGAGAAGGTCAATGAGGCTTCACAGTGGAACAAGACACCAAAGGACATGACAAACAGAGAATTAAGTATTAAAGGGAAGTATGGGCTGTGGATTCTCAAAGGAGAGAATGCATCCCAGAAGGAAGGGGGCCTTTGGGACAACCCAAGATGTCAACCTTGTCCTTGTCTTGTAGGCCCTTCTGTGGTGGGCCTTGTCTCCTCTCCAGGGATGGGAAAGTTGCTGGTTGGGGCCCCCTTGGTCCTGGAAACTGAGGAGCAGTCAGTTCTGAATGAGACACACAAGGGGCTGCTGCAGGAAGTCTCCCCCGTCCTGCTCTCAGATGTCATAACAGCCTTTGTGAGCAATACGGACACTCAGAACCTCAGCTCCCCAGTCACCTTTGTCTTCAAGCATGTGAGTGCTAGTGAAATGGGTCTGTGGGTGTGGAAGAGGCCTGAGTCCTGGACACAGTCTGGGGGCTCAGGGGCTTTCCCATGGGTGCATCATCTCCCCAGGGAAACCCATCACAAGCAGATTTGGGTCAGCATTTCTGAGCAAGAGAAACACCAGCTCACACCTTGCTCTGTTCCTATAGTCAGTGACCCCGGGGCCAAGACAGAAGGTGTTTTGTGTTTTCTGGGAGCCTGGCCAGAAGGGGTGTGGTCATTGGTCCTCCAAAGGCTGCTGGATGGTGGGCACCAGAGACACCAGCACCACCTGCCAATGCAGCCACCTCAGCAGTTTTGCCGTCCTCATGGCCCACTATGATGTGCAGGTGAGAGACTTGAGAAGGGACTTTGTTCAATGTCTATTGCTATGTAATAAACTCCCATGCATGTTTCACCTAAAAAAAATAATTTATTATTCTGCAATTTATGTGAGTCAATAAATAAACATAGTGCACCTGGGTTGTCTGGTCAGGGTCTTACACAAGCCTCTCATCTTAGGATTTCTGTCCTCTTCTGAGCTCTCTGGTTGCTGGCAGAATTCAGTTTCCTATGGTTGTAAGACTGAGGTTCTACACTCTTGTTAGTTGGCAGCAGGGGTCACATTCAGCTACTAGGTCCTCCCTGCATTCCTTCTTATGTGGCCCTCTCTCAGGCCCTCTCACAATGTGTCTATGCTCTTATCTGGAGACTAGCAGCAGAAGCTCCCTCACATCGAGATATTCTCCAGCCCTGGCCAGTTTTCTCAGTGGTTAAAGCATCAGCCCATGCACTGAAGGATTGCAGATTCAATTCCAGTATGTTGTTAAATCTCCACATATTTAAGGGTTTCTTTACTTCCTTTTTGCAGTGGATTTCTATATATGAATATATCTTACCTAATAATAGACAAACATGTAAATTGACCATACCTTTGCTACGCTTACCAGCCAATCAGGAGATTATGCAAATTAACCCAACAAAGATGGCGGTTAATTTGCATACAGAGGCTCCAAGGCGAAGCAAAGCCTGATGGCCCTGGGGTTAGAGCAGTGAAGCCTGACAGCTCCGGTGCCGGCTCTGGCCAGAGCTCGGCCAGAGCAAAGGTCTGGGTCCCAGTTCCCAGGGGCAAAGGGAAGGGAAGAAGGCCTATTGCACGAATCTCTTCATGCCACAAGCCTCTAATATATATATGTATTTTATTGATTTCAGAGAGGCAGGAAAAGGGAGAGATAGAAACATTAATGATAAGAGAGAGAGAATCATGGAT